TAGTATTGAGAATAATGGAAAACCAAGGTTCCTAAAATGCATAAAATTTTCTTTTTGGCTTCGTCAGGACACAAGTTAATACTGGAAACATGATTCAATTAAGACACCTCGAGAGGATACAAAAAGGCTTAAAACAATCGATTATACTTTATTACTACTGTAAAATGTAACACTCTTACTTCCCTGACATTGCATCACATTTGATAATGCTTGTGAGAACTTAATTATTTGTTATTGAATTGCATGGTATATTTTTAATGGAAATTATCGGTTTTGAATTCAAATAATTATCAATAACATACGGCCCTCTGGTTCTGTTGTTCTATTCCCAGGGGTTGGACTGTGGTCCGTTTTTATCTAAACAAGATTTTTCATTTATTAATGTGTGTGTGTATACATGGACATTCAGAACCTCTTGATCCAGTTATATACGCAAGGAAGTATGGGCTAGTTGCTCCTGATGATCATAACGCAGTATATTTTTACCAGATCAAACTCTTAACTTCGGATCAACCATCCCAGATTTTCTGCCATTAATTTGCTAACGGCATAGATTCAGATATTAGCGTTCTAATTAATCTCCATTCTACTGCTGATTAGGTTCTCTGGTCCGGTTGTGGTTGGGAGCCAGTTTCATTGACAGATATGATTACTTCTTCCTCAGTTAAAAAGGTTTATAGGAAGGCAGTCTTGTGCATTCATCCGGATAAGGTTCAACAGAAGGGTGCCAGTATTGAACAGAAATATACCGCAGAGAAGGTTTTTGATATTCTCAAGGTGACCTAAAAATATTATCATTTTCACCTCTTTTCTTTTTCCACTATTTAGCATCCTAGTTTCGAGCCTGCATCTCAACTTGGTGTCTGATTTCTAAACGATGAAGGTATACGATCTTTCTAGTTTGTTTACATGTAGAGAAGTGGGTTATTTGTTTTTAATTAAAAATTTCATGGAGCTTCAAGTCTCCAATGCAGATGCTGATTATGTATAGAATTAGAGAGTACTTGATGATTTCCTCTTTGGAATGTTTCTATGTGAAAATATAACAATCCTAGGAGAAAGAAAGAAACAAATGATTTTGATTGATGACTATTCTTTCCATTTTTCTTGTACCAAGAATTGGCTGATCAATTTATGACTGCTTTTAGATTCGAAATCTAATTCAATTACTGGTTTTACTTGTTTTAACTGTCGTATTACCGTCAAATTTTTGTTACATTGAAACAGGAAGCCTGGAATAAGTTCAGCAAAGAGGAACTTTAGACCCATCTTGGATGATTCTTTTCTTCAACCACCATTTCACCTGCAAAGTATGAATATTCTACTCAGGGAGAGACGACTAAACTAGCATTACAATCGTCGGCTGTTTTCTTCAGGTCAGTCTGGAGGCCATGGCGGCCAAAATCGTGTTCAACATACTGTCAGAGAAAGAACTAAATGGTCGTCATTACTTGACATTGAGGTAATAGTTGGATCCCATAGGTTAAACCATAGTTTCATACCCAAATTATATTGTGATTTATATCGTTCCCCAATAAAATAGAGCTGATGGTTCTTTAAATTTGCGCCACATTCATTGTTTTTGTAGAGTTTATTTCTTCCATTTTTCCTCTTTCTTTCTCCTGGGAAGGAGTTGTGGGTTGAAAGTTGAAACATCTTCCATCCTTCCTGTATTTTGCTGAACTGTACATTCAACATTTTGTATTGTATGTTGCAGGAGTATCCTTGAATTGTGTAACATGTGGAAACTTTTCTCATTAACATTGTCATTCTTTTTCCATACTGTTTCTTTCCGGGAGCGCTAGTGAACTGGTTAAAACATGTTCTTGAATAAAAGGTTAGACGTTTGAATCTTACCTCCATATTGTAGTAGAAAAAAGAAAATGCTCGTGTTTCTTTTTACTTACCTTTACAAGGTTGGAAAGTCAGGTGGTGATGCCTAGTTTTCAAACTTTTATGGAAGAGACCCACCATTTGACTCGACTCAGACTGATACTTCTTTTTCAAGAACCTGTATGAATCCACTTTCTATGATGATTTAGTGGTAAAATGAACCAAGCTACACCTATATAAGCAACTAGATAGGCCAGGGCCAGGACTGAATGTCACTTTGAAAGTGAATAGATTGGGTTTCTGTCTTAGACTTCAAGACTCATCTCTCCATTGAGTTGGCAAACCTTCATTTGCTTTACTTCCATTACAAAGCACCCCATTAAGTAGGTTGAAGAGAAGAAATACATCCACATTCTTTGTACCAAAAACTGCAGTTTCTCAGTTATAGAGCTTTGTCTTTGCCTCTAACCATTAACCCAATTAAAGCTCTACAAAAAAGCACCCCGAAAGAAAGTGGGGAAAGATAAAAACAAACACATCTTGGCCTTTCCCTTGGTCCTTGGAGATTCCTCCAGATCTCCACTACAATCAAAAGCAAATCCCCACTAAAAAGAAAGATGAGAGAACGACATCAACCCTTTTCCAGCGAAATTATGAAACTTCCCAGAAAGATAACCCCACAACCCACTTTCCATCCTTAGTTTGGGTGTACCCTACCACTAGCAACGAAGCCGCCGCTAAGTGGGCGGCCGCCGACTTGAGACTTTCCGGCGTTTTTGAGTCCTAATGTTTTTAGTTAGGTTTGATTTTTAGAGCTTGCTTTTGGCCGATGAAGTAGGAAGAATGATGGTAGTAGTGTAACATTCCAAGCGTATTGCTATGAGATATTGTGGACTTTAATTCATTACGTATTGCCGTTAGCCTCACGGTTTTTAAAACGTGTCTGTTAAAGAGAAGTTTTCACACTCTTATAAAAAAAATGTTTCATTCCTCTCTCTAACTAATGTGGGGATCTCATAATTAGGCTGGTACCACTTTATCTCAATAACTTTTCAGGGTATTTTCATCGTTTCTCTCTCGTATATCAAGCGGTATAATGCTCCATGACTTCGAACATCAATTTCATGTGGAAAAGGGCTGTTTTATCTTACTTTCTTTCTTCCCTGCTTTTGATTCGCCAAAGATAAAGTGGTTTTTTGAATTGTATACATAGAAAAATGAGGCCAAGCTTTTGAATTCTAACTTTTAGCTCGCTGGTGGGAAATGTTCTGCACCTTTCAGAGAATATGGAGAGTTCTGTGCTTGAAAAGGAAACATATCAGTGAGCTCGTGGGGACCTGCTTGGATTTGAATTGGCAAAATGGAATCTTGAGTTGCTTTAAGCTGGCAGGAGTTGGATGGTTCCTTGTATAACTTTGTTGGAGAGTTTAGATTCTTGAAAAGTAGAGGGAATGGGAAAAGAAAGCGAGTGGGAGAAGGTTGTGAGGGCGAGCTTCTACTTCCTCTAGGAGATAACTCTTTCGCACGTGTAAAGTTAAGAAATTAAACTCATATTTGCTTATGAGGGTTTGCTTATCTCGAGCTATAAATACGTTAATCTCGAGAATTACATGAAACTATATAAACCCACATTTAGGATTCAGAAACCGAACCTTTTAACACTTGATGAACGATTCAACAAAGGCGGTATCTTTTTCCTTTATGAAAGGAGAAGACATCACTTTCTCACCCACCATTTGCATAAACCCTAAAGCGAAGCTGATAAGTTGATCCAAGTCTTAAATATATAATTTTTGTATGAAATTCAACTAAAGATTGTATAATGTATGGTTGGTGTATATTGACTTACTGTTTAGAACAGATGTATGAACATAAATTTGCACCTTCAATGGTGCTCTTGAAGGTATCTTTATTTGTCCAACCATATTCATTTCCAAGCAATGGAAATTCCTTGCCCCTTCTCATCTCCAAGAGCTAGAGGGATTTGGTTGGTGAGGGCTTTGGAAGATGATTTTGTTACAATTATGATACGGAAAAACAATTTCACGTTCTTCCTTTCCTTTCGATAAGGGAGGATTAAGAAAATCCTATTGATTGGAGCTTTCTCCAAACCTCCGGAAAAAACATGAAAAAAAAGGCTCGAATGGTACGATCTCTCCGTCACCCCAGAATGAAAGGGGTGATCTCGTAGTTCTTGGTCTGTGAAGATACATTGTTAGGTGCTTCGTTTTATTTTTCCATTGAGGTTGAACCTAAACCTGGGCTCGAGAGATAGCTGTCCATATATTGACAAGAGATGTATGGATTCTCGAGAAGAGAGAAGCCGAGGTGGTCCCCCCGGACCGCACAAATCCCACGAGTGAATAGAAAGTTGGATCTACATTGGATCTCACCTGAATCGACCCATCTATCCTCTTGAGGAGAAGTTTGGTTTCAAACCCGAGTTAAATGATAAACTATTCCTGTAGCCATAAATGATCACTTTTCCTTAATGCCTCGTGATACTCTTTTGAGCTTGGTTGTCATGGACCTTTGCATCACGTTTGGACATGTTTAACGACAATCAATTCCTAAGACAACTTTATAATCAGAACCTCTCAAAATCAGTCCATCCAAGTATTATTGAGGTATATATAAAGTCTTTCGTGTCAAGTCATTTCTGCATACCGTGTACAAACCCAACCCTATATTTCAACATTCAACTCAAAGGGACACAACCCAATGGCATTTTCGTTCAATATCCATTTAAAAACAAAATTCTTAGCAAAATTCCAAAAATAAAAACAAAACGGTTCTTAAAACTCAATTTTTTTTGGCTACATGAATTTATGTCTCAAACCATAAACTTCATAAACTTCACTTCTTTCTATACGACACAAACACAATGTGAAACTTATAAAAATGTAGGTTGAATATTGTTCCACCTGTCTTTGACCTCTTGCAATTTTATGGGAATTTATTTGAAAACGGTTCCACCACTTTTCAGCTTATGCTATTCAAAGTCAAAGGTAAGAATATGGTAAGTTCGAATATGGTAAGTTCGAATGTGGTAAGTTCGAATATTATAGTAAGTTTCGAGTATTATGGTAACGTCGATTCGAGTACAACTTAATAAATAGTGCACAGATTATCATTTCAAAAGTCAATAACTTTTGAACTAAGAAAGATAGCACGAAAATGTTCAATTTTTTTTAATTCGATTGAGAATATAAACGATACAAAGATGGAATGATCATAGTTTTTAACATGTACAATCATGATTTCATATATTTTCTTGAAAACGACACTAAAAATAACCAAAAGAAGAGAAGCTTCAGAGTTTGAAGCCTTTTTATGAAGAACTTGAATTAAAAATGGCATTTGGATCAACCCCTTTTCATTGCAGCGCCTGATCTATCTGAATCAAAAGCTTGTGCTAAAGGGCTTGTAAGTCTTTAGATCTAAGACGACCCCGGCGACCGAACCGGCTGCCGCTGCTATCGAAATTATGAGACAGGCAACGCTTAAGATTTGCAGGCACAACCATTTTGAACTCCACTTTGGTATCTTCTTTTGAGCAATGTACATCTCCACCGGGAAGTAAACCGTGAGAGGCCAAAATCCTAGAGCTCCAAGGAGTCCAACCACGTCGTTGAAGAACGGGAGAAGCATCGAGATCACGGTCGTCACGATCACGAAAACCGTCCTCCAAACCAACCGGAAGAGGTTGAGTCTGTAGGGGCGGATCCCGGGAATCGGAATCTCTATCTCTTTGGTGATGAATTTACTATCAGGAAACTTCTCAGATGCATACTTTTCAAAGAAGGCATAGAGAGGTTGGCAATAGACTTGGTAGGCACCAACAAGATGAATAACAATAGCAGCATTAGCAATGTCAAGCAGCCAATAAGGGTTGTAGAACCCGAACCCCGTGAGGAGGTTTCCCGGCGACAAGTCCCCGAACGCGGCGTACCCCGCACAACCACAAAGCATGTAGAACAACGTCGTGACCGACACGCTTACTAGAGTAGCCTTCTTCATTGTCTTGGCCTCCGAAGGCGGAGATCGAAGAGTGTCCTGTCAAACAAAACATAGCTCAATTAATCAAAACTGAACCGAATCAAAACTTGACACCAAATTCTCGAGATTCATACCTGTATTTCGATAAGGATAATCGAGTAAGAGTATGCAAAAGCAATGTCTCCAAGAGCTTGGAAGCTCCTCCATACTTTTTGTGTTTGAGTAACAGTTCCAACGCTAATTCCAGTTAAACTCCCTCTAACTTTCCCATTTCCTAAAACAATCAAAACAAGAACATCATCAAAACCTACTTCGTGGAATCCTTAAAACAATCAAAACATGTCTGAAAATTTACCAGCAACTTGAGCAATTCCAAGGCCAAGCCCAATGGTTGAGTAAGTAAAAGACATGACAGCAGCAACAATGGATAGCCACCATAGCTGATCAAAATCTGGGATTTGAGAGAAGATTATCTGTATAATCCCAAAGGCTATCATATAAGGATTGCTATTAATTTGACAAGGATCTTTCCCTCCACTAGCATGGAAGCAATTCGATCTCTTAATAGCCCTGCAAATTCAAAACCCCTCAAGAACATAAGAACACAAAAACCCCATGAACATAAAGAATCAAATCATTCATCTTTCAAAAATTTCACTCACATCATGCTTATGGCTGAAGCTATTGTATACCCAATTGCCACTCCAAAAAGATTGAGATATTGAACAAGCCCACATAATTTCACATTCAATCCTCCTGCAAATGAATCAAACATTACCAACAAGCTCAAGTTCAATTGATTCCCGTAAATTCGGAGTTTTTCTCACCAAGATTGGCCTGAACGGCGTCCATATACGTATAATTTCTCTTGCCGGAAACAGGGTCGCCGGACCGGTAACAAGCAGAGAGAAGAATGGAAGTGTAATAAGTAACCATGGAGAACAAGAACATAACCGCCGGACCAGCAACCCATCCGAGCTGCGCCGTGGCCCATGCCAATGATAGAACGCCGGAGCCGATCACCGCCGTGATAATATGAGCACTTGCAGTCCAAACGGTCCCTGTTTAACAGAACAAAACACTATAAGACTCTGTTTTAAAGAAAAACAGAGGAATCTGTTTTTGGTGTAAGAAATGTTCGCCGGAATTACCAGTTCGTTTGAGGCGGCCATCGTCGTCGAAGCACTTGGAACCGCCTTGAGGAACGGCGGCGGAGGAAACCCCAAAAGCTTGATCTTCACCCATCTTCAGAATCAAACAAAAAAGAACAAAAAATATTCAGTCTTTTTGAAAACCAAACCAGGCTGAAAGATGTGTTTTTTTTTAAGAAAATGGGACAAAATCTTGGTTTTATAGAGGAAGAAGAAAGCACGTGTTGTTTAATCGAGGCTAAAGGATTGGACGCCATTAAATGCGTGTCTTCGTTGACTGCCGACTAAAACTTTCTCACTACGTTGACTGCCGACTAAAACTCTCACTACGTTGACTCAAAATCTCAGCTTCCTGTCAGCTCCCATTTTTTATTTTCTTAAAAAAATTTGTTGGGTTATTATAAATCCTATTTCATATCGATCGAGCATACACCTAGCATAACTCAACAATAATTGATTTTTACCCTTTTTGTTTAGATAAGAACCCAACACATAAATACCAGTAAATTCAACTATATTCGATACACATCTAATCTAAGTATATAATAACGAGATTTCCGATCATGAACTAACTTCCCTAAAGTAAAACGAAACAAAACAACTACAAACGGGAATAGATGAAATAATGCATGAATCGATGGATTGGCTGACCTTGATAGATAAATTTCTCGACTCCGTCTAAGATACCCTTCGCTCGAGATGTTTACGTTTGGTTCTCTCTCCAACGAAAAGTTTAGGAGAGGAGAGGGAAGGGCCTTAGAGGAAGAGGAGAGAATAAGGATTATAAAGGGTTTGAGTTTGTGTGAATCCAAATAATGTCCAATATGCCTTTATATAGCAAACAAAAAGGCAATATGTACAAGAAACAATGTTCATTTCTAGAGAGAGAAAGAGAGAGTCACGTGCGAGAGAGAGAGAGTCACGTGCGAGCACTCTCCTCCCACCATTATTATTCAATATTTGAAGTAGAAGAAGAAGAATTAGGTTCTTGGATGGTTAAACCTTCGCCATACACAAAAAGAGCGTAGAGGAGCCAAAGAACACTTTTTTTTTTTTTTTTTTTTTTTAAATTTTTTTTTTTTTTT